ATCCAGCTTCACAGCCTGAGGCTTCAAGGCTAGGGGTATAGGGTTTTTTAGGGTTTAGGGTTTAGGGTTTAGGGTATAGGTTGGGTACTGCCACCCCTCAGTAACAGTTGGATAATCATTATAATAGGGGTATATAGAGCCCTTAAAAGGACCCCGAAATATACTGTTATTGGGTGGGGGCAGTACCCAAGGTATAGGGTTTAAGGTTTAAGGTGTAAGGTTTAGGGGGATATATATATATATATGTTATCAGGGAGATACACATCTATAAGAGCCTCATAGGTTTATAGTTCCAGGGACATGTAGGGTTGAGGGGTTCAGCACTGGGGCAGCCCTAAACCCTAAACCCTAAGCCCTCATCAAATCAGCCCTAAACCCTAAACCCTAAAGCGCAGATAAACAATGAAATCGAGATGAGGTTAATTATTTGGGGATACATACCAACCTTCTGTGTCGCTGTTAGGGAACTTAGTTTAAGTTACTATATTGGGGAAACCATGTTCCATGTTAGCTCTTATACATACATATATATATATATATGTACCCATTCTGGTAATTTAAGCTCCTTGACAGCAACCCAGCAGTTTGCTCCCAGATCCCTTGTGCATTTTTGGTATAGGGTACACCAAGTAGGCCACAGAACTATGTTGGTAGCAGATTACGCTCCCTACAGTACTTGCGGGCCATTATTCATATGGGTTATTACACGTATCAGACCTTACCTTCGGAAGCTATCAAGATGCCGGGGTTGCTGCTAAGGAACTCAAATGCAGTTACCATGAAATGGATTTATTGTATGTGAATGAGAAGGCTTCCTAAGTCCTACTCCTTAAAGTAAGTAGCTTAAAAACTAAGCAGCTCCTGATCAAAGACTTGAAGTGTGTACCCTTGGTTTCTGGCCCTGGGTTTGGAGTCCCATATACCCTACATTAAGCACCCAGAATCAAGGACCCTAAATTAAGAGCTATATTCCATGGCTTGGGGATCCAAACCCAAGGGTACAGACCCTAAGGATAAGAAGGACAATATTCCGTGACCTCAACAGCAACCCAGGACATGAAAGGTCGAAGTGCCATCACGGCTCAAAGTCTACAGTGGGGGTTCTCCAAATTGTGGTACTAGGGACCTAAAAGGGACAATAATCTTGACAACCCTCCATATAGCCAGCGGATGAGTTATTATCTCTAGCAGTGAGATCTAAAAAAACTGTGCAGTTATCAGCCATGTATACTGAGAACACAGCATTCATCAAACCGTTCAGTCATGTGTGGCAGCTGAAACAGGTCCCTTGGCGGAACCCAGGTCCCCTTTATTAAGGAGGAGGTTGACGGGCTCATTGGGTCCCTTTGAAGGATTTGAAAGGTTGGGAAGCTCCCCTACTGCCACCTACAAAACAGCCAGGCTTTGATGAACAGGGCCTGCCCTCTCAAGGGGGATATGTAACCCGATAGTGGAGAATCGACTCAAAAAGACAATGGAACCCTACACTAAACCGTAAATAGTAGCTTCCAGGTTCTTTTCCATTCTCCCTATATAACCCCAGTATACTATAGTAGTTTCCATAGGGACCATGGTAGCAATCGAACACATGCAGGGTGCGCCTCATATGCGTGATTACCATCGATAAACATCAAGTCGAACTCGATATGCCGGAACCTTGGCGATACGTTCGCAAAGTGGACCCTAAACCCTAAACCCTAAACCCTGGGCTTTGCAGAGGCTATAATTCTATAAGTTGAAGGCTTATTCCAACAATACCCGGCTTTGAGGGACCAGGACCTTCCTTGTGCCCTTAATTGGGGATATATGGCCCCTAATAGTAGGTAATTAGGCCCCAATAGAGGGTAGGAGGAGGGTCTAGGGACAGAGTTAACTACTGGTATAATGTGCCCGTCATGCCTCTGTTCTAACCCTTTAGAATTAAGTAGGTTACCTGGCGCCAAAGTAGCCCCAATGTACGGAGGTAAGGGGAATGCCACACTCTCAAACACAATTCCCTTCACTTACCCTAAACCCTAAACCCGAAAACCTAAACCCTTACCCTGGACCCTAAACCCTTACCCTAAACAGTAAACCTTAAACTCCAAACCTAAGCAAAAACTTCGATGAGCCGGGGGGGGGCCAAATTGAGCATCCCTTTTTGGGGCTCTCAATAATAAGGGTTATGAAATACTGCTGCTTATTATGGAGATCCCGAAAAAAGGGGGCCTCGAGACAAAACCTGATATGGTAGAATCAGGATATTAGATTAGGTTCTGTATTGGAGTCCTCCCCATTTGCCCTAAGGAGCATAAAGGACCCCCGCCCGAGTCCCCTCAAGGGTTTAGGGTTTAGGGGCAGTCCACGTGTTTGTTTGATGTTCCTTTTTCACTTTCATTTGACTCTCCATTTCTTAAAGGATCCCGAATGGGGACCCAGATTGACCCCATATACCCCTATGTATCCCTACCCTAAACCCTAAACCCTAACCCCTGAACCCTAAACCCTGAACCCCTAAACCCTAAACCCTAAACCCTATTCATCCCTAGACACCCCTGCTCTAACTGTTGAAGCTTGGAAGGCTCCAGAGAAAACGGAGGCACGGCTGCAGTGCAGAAATTGTACACATCCCCTTACCCTGACCCCCGAAAGGATCTAAAAATGAGATCCCCTAGAACCATGGGGGGAATTATATAGGGGTTATAACGGGTCTATATAGGGGTTCATTTTTAGATCCTCCCAGATATCCCCTTACACCCCATTGTACCCCTTGCATCCCCTGCGGTCCCTGCGGGCGCTTTGAAGGGATCCGTACAGCCTGGACCTAGATGAGCTATAGTCTAGCATCCCCCCAGGGTTTAGGGTTTAGGGTTTAGGGTCCCCCTAACAACCCCTATTAATCCCCTATCTAACCCCCTTTAACAAGTTTAGACTACCGCTCAGATGACTTCTCCCCCCCCCCCACCCCCCGGCCTCGGCAACATCTCAGCCGAGTTTCCCTGGAGGAGGATGTGCGTTTGGCCGCGCTCCTGTACCATTAGGGTTGAGGGTTTAAGGTTTAGCGTGGAGCCTTTTTAGAACAGGGCTTTGGTATGTGTTATACCAAACGGAAAGTAATATGGAAACAGGGTCACAAAGGGATTTCACTTGGGTAAGAAAGGACTTTTGCTTAGCCCAACCAACGTCAGGAGCCATGACTATCATGTTATGCCTCTTCTAGGGTTCTTAGTCTGGGGGCTGCATTTATTAACCCCTGTTAATGATTCAATGCCTCATTGTGTGGATGTAACTCCTGAAGCTTGGAACTGCATCTTGCTTCTGAGTTTTTTGTCTGCTAGAATGAAGAGTTGCAGCCAGCAGTGATCCAGTTGAGGGCCTTGATCTGGGTCTACAACTTGAGATTAAAACTCAGTGGCGTTTGGTCATGCGGTTTGGGTGTGTGGCGTAGGGCTTGGGGTTTTGGATTTGTTTGGGGTTGCAAGTCCACTGTTTGGAGTTTAGAAAATGAGGTTCAGCACTTACGATTTTAAAGCTTTACGGTTTAGGGGGGTTGGGTTTGGGGGTCCAGCAGAGAGGTATGGGCTTGGGGTTCAGAGTTTAGGGTTACTCCATCTTGGCTTAAGCCTGAAGCTCGGAGGGTTGAGGGTTTGGGGTTTAGGGTTTAGGGTTTAGGGCTTAGGGTTTAGGGTTTAGGGGTTTAGGGTTTAGGGTTTATGGGTTTAGGGTTTAGGGTTTAGGGGATAATAGGGGGATTTTCTCGGCCCAGCCTCCAGAATTAGGGCTAGGTACAATTTGAATTAGGGCCCAATGTAGGTATGCTTTTTAGGCTCTGAGCCTCAGCGTACGACTGGCTTTCAAAAATACAAGAGGCTGGCTAAAAACCTCCTCGGCTCCCGGCGATGTCAAATTTTTCAAACACCATCGAAGCTCGGCACAAGAGGGCATTGTTTTGCGTTATGCAGGGGCTCCTCAAAACAATCCCCATTCGCAAGGTTGACAAAATCATGCTTTTCGTTTGGGCTCCTAGCATACTGCAGCCACTAGTGTCTAGGGTATCCAACATACTCTTGACAACTTCCCTAGGATGGGGTTCATACGGAGATAATGCGGCTCCTTAGGATGATATAGAGAGTGATAGCGATCCCTAGAATACCCCGATAATCCCGGTAAATACCCGAGCTTCCTGAAGGTACCTCATTTTGAGAAACCCCCCTAAATTCGAAATACCACCATGTGGGGCTTCGTCTTTCTGATTGCGGGCCCTCGGCCCATGAATAAGCCGTTGGCTTACGAAACTCCCCCGTCACCCTCTGCAACCCAGGCATTGCAAAATGTGTGAGGTTCTTCGGCTTTGCGGAATGTTTGGAACTTTGGGAGACCGTTCTCTTCAACTGTTTGCGAAGACCTTTAAGCTTGCAAATGACTCAAGCTTAGGAAGCACGTCCTCCGCTGTCTTTGCCACGAACTTTTCAAGCGGACGCGTGTACCTCCAGCTCATGCAATCTGGCATCCCAGCTGGCTTCATAAAAGGCCGCAGGACTGCCGGCTAAAACTCCCACGCATCATGAGACCAGAAGCGGCCTTTGAACTGAGGGTGGCTAGAAGATGTTGGAGACCAGAGGCTTGTGGTGTTTGTGCAGGCAATGGCCGCCTTTTTCCTCCGCTTGTGAGGTTGAGGGGTCTCGGCGCCGGGGTCTATACAGGAACCCACGGAAGCGGTCGCCTGAGGCAAAGAAGCCGCATGGGGTTTGTCATGGGAGCCGCAATGCCCAGTAGAGGGCTGCACTGAAGATATCCGAGCACCGCGCGACGGCACTGTCTGCCCGCCGCCGCGGCCAGTGCTGCTCGGTATGGGTTTGCCACGCAATGCCCTTGGGCAGTGGCCAGTTCCGCAGAACCAAAATCATCAATTCAGTTTATTACAAGGCCGTAGTGGCCCGGCTATAGCTTGCAGGAACAGGAAAACTTAAAGCCTTAAGCTTTGCTAGCTACGTGTGGGGCTGCAGTGCAGCTACAACAGCTCAAATCTCCACCTCGGACTTGTCGCCCTCCTGTCTTCACAGGAAAATGGCTTCTTGACATATGCCGTGCACACGCTAATGTAGAGCGGCATGTTTACACGGAACAGGATTTTGAGGGCTTAGTGACTTAGTGTCTTTGTCCCAACGTGGGTAAGAAAGATCCTGCATGACCTCAGTACCCTTTTCCTTGCGAATCATGGTCTTTTGGTATACTAGTTTATGCCGCTTTTTGAGTATCAACAATACCTTGTTAGTTCTGGTGTGAGTAGGAAACCCGTCCTGGACAAAGAAGGTGGGGTGTGATATTTAGGTTTTGAGGTTAATATGGCATAGGGAGTTGTGGAACAAGCCCCGGTTGTTGTATTAGACTGGAGCTAAACAAGGACTATAAGGAGAGACAAGACGGGGCCTTCTGCTTCTCGAGGTTCATCAAGTCCGGCTTCTCCGAGCTCAGCACCTCTCATGCTTTGCTTTGAGGAGGACAGTCAACATCTAAAAACATCCTGATATTGTTTTGTTCATACGGCATACCTAGATTTCACAACGGCTTCAGAATCGTCACGTTCGTGGTGAGAATCTGAATGGGTTGTTCGGGAGGAGACGGGCACAGAACATTCCCACCTCGCCGTCGTCGTCCTCGTCCGGCAGGCTGTCAAGCAGCCGCAGCTCCTCCTCGGTGAACATCCAGCGAAGGCCCTGCAGGGAGCGGTCTCACACAGACGAGACGAAACTTGGAAGTACAAACGCGCAGCTGGACTGTGGGCCTTGCGGATGATGGCCAGGGAGGCCATGAAGAAAGGGAAGACAACGGAAGTTTCCTTAATTGCTTTCAGGCCGTTTGAGCAAAAAGATGTCAGGTTGACCAGGTCCTAGACATCAGTCATGTTTCCTTGATTGCTTTGAGCCCATAGAGAATCGCCAAGCAGATCAGCTGCACAAAGGTGTAGAGATGGACACGGCTGATGGGCAGCTTCCGGATGTAGTGGTACTGCGGGTACTTGGCCGAGTCCCAGATGAGCCACAGGAAGAGGCGGTCAAAGAGGTTGTTGCCAGTCAGGGAGGCGATGCCCATGTAGAAGAAGACGCCCTGCAGCACGGCCTGCGGCAGGAACTTCAGCACTGGGGCCAGGAACAGCGCACATCCGATGAGCACCTAAGTTGTCCTTGAAGTCCTTTGAAGAAAATTATTTACTATTATGGTTTGCTACAACATAATGGGAGCAATTACAAAAGATCCCAAAGGACAACCCAAAAACATGGATCAAGAAGTTGGTCGCGCGTTGTTCCACCACCTTGGTCGGGACCTTACGCTCCCCCTCAGGCAGCTGCTTCACCTCGTACGTGGTCAGGGAGATCACGTGCGCGATGCTGGGCACGGTGGAAGCCACGGACAGTGGCAAGCCCAGAACAGCGCAGACGGGGAGAGTCAGTGCTCCGCGCACGAACAGGTCCAAATGATATCCTGGCTGAGAAATTTGATAGCGAGACGCAGGGTGCAACCAGACAAGCCAGTTCCGCTAGCGCTCTCAAAGCACTCAGCTAGCGAATGGTACCCTGACCTGCAAAGTCGTATTGCATCGAAAGTTTCATACCATGCTCCGGCATCCCCATTTTGCACACTCGAAGTAGTGCCAAGGTTATACCTTCAAATTTCGGACCTACCGCTACAGGACCAGCAAATGCCCTCCCATGGCAAAGAACTCCCACATATTGGTCAGCACCTGGGGGCTTGG